GAAGGGGGTGAAGGGGGTTGGGGGGTGAAGGGGGTTGGGGGGTGAAGGGGGTTGGGGGGTGAAGGGGGTTGGGGGGTGAAGGGGGTTGGGGGGTGAAGGGGGTTGGGGGGTGAAGGGGGTTGGGGGGTGAAGGGGGTTGGGGGGTGAAGGGAGTGGGAGCGGGATCATCCGTCATACTTCAGCTTCCTGTAAGATTGTGTGCAGATGTGCGATTTTTCTTTTTCTTTCCGTATATGTCGTCACGCATTTGACATTATAAGAATGTAATTAAGTAATAGGTATTGTAGTTTTATTATTTGCTAATTTGGTTGCTGATCCTCAGCTTCTAATTCTGCTGCTACTGCCTGAGTCACGCTGTGACTGCTGCTGTTACTCTGCTATTGCCGCTGCAGGAGATCGCTGCAGCAGGCGACCTGGATGCCGTGATTGCCAACCATTTGCAGGTACACATGTGCGTATGTGTGCATGTATGTAATTATAATGTGTATATATATAACTCATTCTTTCAACTCCGGCGTTCTGTTAAAATGTGTTATGTGCGTCTGTATGATAGTATGTATGTGTTGTTTGCGCGGACCTCGTTCCGTTCCTTAATTCATGTCTCCCCGGGTGTCATTGCCCGCAGGCGTGGCGCGACAATTGGTATTGTGTGTTTTCCTCTCTTGCTTTTACCCCGTGATCCCCCACCCCCCTCCCGTAGCCCTGTACTGCTCCCGTACCTTCATTCCCACCCACCTCGCTCGTCTCCTGATGCAGTATGTCTGTATGTCTGTATGTCTAATTCTGCGGAGAGATATCCATCTATCTCTTGGGGTATCAGCTGCACCACCCGTCTATGGGGGTCGTCTTCCCCTTCCCTCTCCCCCTCCACACCAACCGTTCCTCTCCCCCCTCCTTTCTCTCCCTCCTGCCCCCAGACGGGTCGAATCAAGGTTCACGAGGAGTGTGCGAGTGTGCTGGTGAGGCTGCAAGAGGCGGCGGAGGACGGCGGGAAAGGTCACGCGGCGTGCGTGGTCTGTACGTCTGTCGTCTGTTTTGCTTCCATATCTGTATGTCTGTCTATGCCTGGCTATGTATGTCTGGCTATGTATGTATGTCTATGCCTGGCTATGTATGTCTGTCTATGCCTGGCTATGTCTGGCTATGTCTGTCTGCACATATATGAAGCTGTTGGGGCTGCGGGAACGGGACCCCCAACGGTGCTGCCTGCCGCGTGCCGCTCCTTACATACATACATACATACGTACGTACGTATCAGCTTTCCCGCTTCCTCCCGGACCCCCTCCTTACCGTTGGAAATGAGAAATTCTCCTCATGGGTAATAACCCTCTCAAGCTTAAGCCTCCTCCTTCCCCCCCTCCGGATTACGAGAATCCCCCCCCCCCCCCCACCACCACCACCACCACCACCACCACGACGACGTTTGGAATTGGTTCAGATCCGGCTGATGGACGTCTCCAGGGAGGGCCAGCTTGAGACCCCCGCTACCCGGGTGCCGCTGACGTCGCTGCGGCGGCCCGCGTACTGCAGCATGGCGCCACAACTGGGAACCAAACACTACGAGCTCATGTGTAAACAGGTGCATATGTGCGTGCGAAGTATGTATGTTTGTGTGTGCGTGTGAGTGTATCTCTTTGTGTGCGTGTGTGTCCTCCACAGAGCCGCGAAGAAGAAGAAGAAAAGGAAGATATGTTCTGCATAAATGATTTTGGGTATGGTTCCTCTTGTGTATGTATGTATGTATGTATGTATGTATGTATGTATGTATGTATGTATGTATGTATGTATGTATGTATGTATGTATGTATGTATGTATGACGTTGATTACACTGTGGGCTGAAAAGCCGGGGGCCCAGGGCCGAAGCACAGCGCGGGGGGCGGGTGCATACGGCTGGTTAGTCTCATGCACTCCGCCCCCGGGTCAGGCCGCACGGGAAACGACGGCCGGCACGCAACAGCGCTTGTTTGGCGCTCCAACTAGACGGGATCTATGCCCGTTGGTCTCCTAACATAAACGAAGTCGCAACTGGGGGGCTCTTCCTGCCGACCGAACGAACCGAGCATCTCAGAGAGCTCGCTACCAGGACTTGGGCGACCGGGAGCCCGACGAGTCTTCCCGGGCTGGGGAGGTCACCAAGCTCAAAAATCCTCACGCAAAAAAGAGCGCAAAGAGCTCACACCACAAGACGCCAAACAGCCTCCTGAAACTACTACCCTCCTCCGCCTCTCCCTCCCTGGGCTAGTCCAGGGGAGATAGCCCCCGTCGAGGGGGTAACACCGCACAAGTCCGCGCCCTTCCACAGCACTGGGTCTAAATTGAAAAGTATGTATGTATGTATGTATGTATGTATGTATGTATGTATGTATGTATGTATGTATGACTTAGATTACACTGTGGGCCGCGAGAGCCGGGGGCCGAAGCCGAAACACAGCGCAAGGGTCGGGAGCACACAGCACAAGTCGGTTAGTCTTGTGTGCTCCCGACCCCGACTCAGACTGCCAACACTCTACGCAGCCACTCCGCAGCCCCTCCATCCAGGGATGGCGCTGCATTGAATACACCACGAAGGGTTCTCAGGTCCCGCTAGGGCGAGTCCACAAGTCTCAGCTAGGGCAAAGTCAAAGGGTCTCTGAAACAACCCCCCAAAACACCACCAACGAAAACGGGATTCGAAGGGAAAACAAACAAACAACCAAAAATTGGGTTAGGGCAGTCCCGGCAGGGGAGGGCTCCTGATATACCTAACAGGCCAACAAAAAACCTCCAAGAGAGAAAGGCTAAGAGAGCTCGACATGTATGCATGTATGTATGTATGTATGTATGTATGTATGTATGTATGTATGTATGTATGTATGTATGTATGTATGTATGTATGTATGTCAAATATGAAATAAGGGAGAGGCGTCCCATGGCGGCTCGTGGTGGATGACAAAGGGGGAGATGGAAGGGGAATGAAACTGGAAACCCAGCCGCCAAGCTGCCCTTACATACCCAACCCCCGACCGGCCTACTTGGCACACTCTGACCCACGGGTCGCCAGGTAACCAACAAGACGTACGCTCAGGCCAAGCCCCGGAACATGCCAGACGACGTTTGGGTGGAGATGATCAACGACGCCATCATCAAGGTGGGACTGTGGGAGGACTGGGTCGTGTAAGCACGATTGCAAAATAAGAAAACGATTTCATGGAATAACTAATAAAAACTTATTTTCAAAATATACTATTATGAATCACTATTAGCATATCACAGAAAAGTAAATAAATCGTTTTGTAACCTGTCAAGAAGAATTGTTGAGGTATTACGGCCCATCAGCAAAAACAAAGGTGTTAGAATGAAAGACGTGGGCCAGAGGATACGGGCCGGGCTGGGAGAGTGTATGGGTACGGCGATTAGGATGCTCCGTACAGCATATACCTTCCGTGCCTAACTCCTGCCGTCGTGTGTGTATCACACGGTGTTGAGTTTTCCACGGGTGGTGCCTGTTCTGAAGACCCACAGAAATACATACATACATGCATACATGCATACATACATAAGGACATGCAAATACACACATGCATGTGACGCATGTCATGTGGGTTTGCAGGTGGCTGGGCTCGCGGAGGACGAAGAGGAGGACGAGGAGGGGGATGGGGGGGCAGCAGCGGCGGCAGCTGCGCCGGTGCCGCCGCCGTCGGCAGGGGCGGCCTCCGCCGCCGCCGCTTCCGCCCTTTCCGGGGTCGTACCGGCGGCGACCCCGCGACCGCGCAGCGCCGCCTCAATGCGCCGTACATCGACGCTGAGAAGCCAAGGAAGCTTCGCTGCCGCCGGTCGTGCAACGCCGATGTTGGCGCCTGTGGCAGCGCCGCTGCTGCCGCCGCCCACCGGCGGCAGCGGCGGCGGCAACGCTGGGGCACCTGCCATGAGCGGCGCCCTCACGGCGCCGCCGCCACCGTTTCCAGGCCAGGGTGGAATGATGCGGTGAGCATGTTCATGCGTGCACTGTATATGCACTTATGTATGTACATTTGTTTCTCTGTCTGTGCAGCACGAGGGCTGGGGAGAAAAGGGTGGGAAGTAAGTAAGTAAGGGAGGGGTGAATGCGTTTACGGATACGATACAGAGGAACATACATATCGCGGAGATTCCACCCCTGGAGTTTCCGTGGCGCACGTGTTCCTTGCACGGCGGGGACCCGTGTGGCGGGTGTAACCGAGGATATTGGTTTGCATGTCTTGCCCCAAAACTGGTCTGCAACAACTCTTGCTCAACCTTCGGATATGCCAGCTGGATAGCATTTCACACACGGCTTTCCCCCCCTTCACCACACACACCTCCCCCTCCTCTCCCCCCCTTTCACACACACCTCTCACTGGCTTTTCGCGCCTGCAGGCCTCCGTACCCCTGGCCCATGCCCTTTCGGCCCATTTACCCCCCGTATCCCATGTACCGTCCGCCGTTTTTTCCCGCTTACTTGCCACCGTATGGCATGGGCATGGGCATGGGCATGGGCGGCATGGATATGGGTGGTATGGTTGGGCCTGGCGCGGCCGTTGGCGGCGGCGGCGATGGCGGCGGCGATGGCGGTGGTGGTGGCGGTGGTGGTGGCGGTGGTGGTAATGGTGGTGGTAATGGTGGTGGTGTGGCTCCTATGGCAGTTGGTGGTATGGGCGGGAGGATGATGATGCGCCCGCCAGGATACGGCATGCCCCCCTGGTACGGCATGGCACCAGGGTACGGCATGTTGCCCAGGGAGATGGTGATGGGCGGCGGGGCGCCGCAGGGCCCTATGGTGCCCGGGGGGGAAAGAGGTGCGGGAGGAGGAGGGCCCCGTCCTCAGGAAGCGGCAGCAAGTCAAGGACAGCAGCAACAGCAACAGCAACAGCAACAGCAACAGCAACCCCCAAGAAGTAGCGGCGTTCCCAATGCGGCGGGTACTACAGGCCTACCGCAGCCGCTCCCGCAGCAGCAGCAGTAGCAGCAGTGGCAGCAGTAGCAGCAGTGGCAGCAGTAGCAGCAGTAGCAGCAGCCTACTATAACCTATGCCTCCTTCCCAGGCCCAAGGCTCAGGTACAACCTCCGGCTCAGGTGGAATAACGCGCTGCTGCGTGCGATATAGCTCCGAATCCTACCATGTCCCAGAGCCCCAGCCGTGGAGGGTGTGATGTGTGCGTTGTGCGCAAAGCGATGGTGATCATGTATGTGTGTATGTATGTATTGGTCTCATGGTGACAAGATGACACGATTACCATGTAGTTACCACAGTTCGTTTCACGAGCTTTGGCCCTTTTTACGGCTTTAATGGTTGTGTGTGTACGTGTGTATTCTATGTGTATATGATGTGTGAAACAGGGTGTATCTTCGCCCGTGGCAGCTACCCTGCGAAACCCTGCCTTCCCCGGTATTTCGGGGCACCCTCATCCAGTCACCCTAGTCATCTTCTCAGTGGATCGCTCAGGTTCCGCACCCACCACCAGCATCCAGCGGAATCTGCCGTGCGGCCCAACTCCATTCCTGGTCGGCTCGCAGGTTAACTTTATCCCAGGTCACCACCATCCACCAACCAGGGGCGCAATGCCTTCCACCATCGGAAGGACATTTGGCCCCAGCGGGTATCGATCCCGGGATCTCCCGGGGGCAATGGCGCCTTACCAGTAGTGCCAAACCCTAGATATATGTGTATATGAGTAAGTATGTGTGTGAATAGATGTGTATGTGTGTATAGATGTCTGTGTGCCTCTTGCAGCTGCCGAGGGAACAGGACGGGCCTTTCCTGGTGGTGCGGACAAGCGTGTATGATGCATGTAGGCTTTTGAGGGGACTGGGGCTAAAGCGAAGGCCAACGTGGCCGTGCCTCTGCAATGCAAAGCACGCCTCGCGGAGGTGGATCTGTGGATGGTGGTGTTTCGGAATTCTTTCTCTTGTAGCATGGTCATCAAGGACGGGTCGGGCAAACGGCACGGTTTGCTGTACTTGGACTAAGCCCTCTTTTCCTTTTATGAAACGAGCGAGGACACGCGTCGTAATCAATTGTAAAGTTTTCGCCCTGACCGACGTTTAGTCCTGCCAGACGGCTTGCGAATAAGTCAGGTGAAGCCACCGACGAATTGCTAGCCAGAAGCAATTGCAAGAAAGGTCGCATCTGTGAATAAATGCTCATTTCTACTTAAAAAGTCGGGGCCTTGCTAGAACACCAGGGGGAACCCAACTCTAAAATGGGTCCAGGCTTTGGTCAGTTTGCGGTTTGCATAATGTTGTAAGATTGTGAGAAATACCGGCATATGGTGTCGGATATGTAGACTGACTTGTTGACGTGTCGTAATCTTCTCCTGCCGTGCGAGGTCATCCTCATGAGGTTCACCGCAACATGAATGTTACCCAGTTCCCATGTATAGGTGTTGGTACTCGAGTTTTAAGATTAACATACTTCTGGCGCAATTCCTTGTGTAAAGTTGCTGGCCGCGTCACCTCAGGGAACCTTCATTGGAGGCGCCTAGACTTCCGTGCTTGACGCGTCGAGCAGGGCGCCGAAATTTGCTCTATGGCGCTTAGCGAGTTCGGCCAGGCGTTTTTGGACAACCTGGCGGACCTGAAGACCCCTGAAAGGAGGTCTATTGTCACGCTGAAGGACTTGGCGTTTGAGAACCCTTCTGAAGCCGGAAATGTTGTTCGGGCTATTCGTCAGCATATCAAACAGGTGAGGTCCAAAAGTGTTACTTTTTGTGGCGTTGCTGCGGGCTATCTGGCCTGTAGGCGGCCCGGCGTTTCTCAAGCCGTCTATGCTGTCATTCAAAAGCTTTCCCGATATCCTTGTCGAGATTGCTTTTTCTTCTGCCTATGTGCAGTGTCCCGCTGCTCACCGATTGCCGGCATTGTACCTCGTGGACTGCATGTTAAAGACGGAGCCGTGTCCACCAATGTATGCAGAGCAGCTTAGCCAATCTTTGCTGGAGGTAAGTTTTGCAGCTGATTGTTTACGTAGGTTTTGTGATGACAAGAAGTCCCATCACCATTGTGCAGATCTTCGTCTTTGTATGGGACAACTCGGACGCTGCGACTCGACCCGCCCTAAACAAGTTATGCAAGCTATGGAGGTCGGTGGCGCGGCTGGACCAAAAGGTTGTTGAGGCGTGTGAGAAGTATATGGTGCCCGCGGGCATGGCCTCGACCTCTGCTGGGGGCGCTGCCTCGAGTGGTATGATGCCTCCCCCCGGCTATCGGGGCTATCCTGTGACGCAGCCGCCTCAACCTCGTCCCCCCGCCCCTTATGGTCGGCCTTCGGCCGCAATAGGTAACAGTTCGTTTGGACCTAGAGCGTTCGGTCAGCCAATGCATGTGCCCCAGGTTGCAATGCCGCCAGCTCCTTTCCAAGCTGCGCAGCCGCCACGGCCAGCGTACCAGTCAGCGCAGCCACCTGCAGTTCTTTTACCCATGCCAGCGTTTATCCAAACCCAGCAGCCGCAACAGGCCCAAATGCCATACGCAGCTCCAGCAGCACATCAGCAGTTACCGTTTGCAGTTAGACCAATGCCACCGATGCATTTTGCTGGTGTACCGACACCCGCACATGTCACGATACCCGGGACGCTCATACCGCCCGCAATCCTTAGCATGCATCCAGCTCCGGCTCCTGTTGTGCAGCAAGTTTTAGCGCCAGCGAGTCCGCAGCCAGCACCAAACAGCCCGCAGCAGACAAATGCGCGGACGCGCTCGACCGAGTTCCCCGGGCCACGGGCCTTGCAGGTAAATTGCGTGCACGGTTTGTTTGTGGTCGCCTTTGTGGTAGGAGGTATGGGCTGCTATGTAGACTCTCTGGGGTGCGTTTTGAGGGAGGGGGAAGGATGCGGTCTGGAGTGTGAAGTGCTGGTATGCACTCCTGGAGGTGGGCAGAGCGCGCCCCTATCGCTCCGTGTCAATGTAAAGGAGGACAGTGTTGGCCGCACGCCAACCTGGCAAATGAACGGTTAAAGGCTCGGTGACAGCTGTGAAGTTACACCCACAAAGCAAACCAGTCAGCGGAGTTGGTCAGCAAGAAGAGTTAAACCAGCCCAACAAAAGTTTGAAATGATTGGTTTGCAGGAACTTGATGAGACGGCCGTGCAAGACTTGCGTGAAGCGTCGGATCGCACACGACCTGCCTTCCTCGATGCGTCGTTCTTGAGAAACAAGCGTCGCGCTGCACAAGCCGCTTGTGGCCTGCCTTCTCGCCAGTGGTATCCATCGACGGATTTATGGCTTGTAGGCACAACGTCAGTAGCAGAGGACAAGGAAGACAGAAACGTGGAGGTGAGAACATGTCAATAAGCTCATATGAGGTCTCTCCTAAGTAAACTTGCACTTAAGATTATGTATTCGTATGTAATGCAGGAAGAAAATGTTCAAACGGAAGAGGGGAAACTTTTCTTCGTCGAGGAGGATCCATCGCAGCCTGAGTGCGCCATCTCCGGCGAAGCATTTGAGCGCTTCTACGACCCGGATTCAGACAAATGGTGTTACAAAGACGCTGTGATTCTTAGTGCAGAGGATGCTGCAAAGTAAGTCGTCAACGCCCATTGAATCTTAACATCGACGCGCGATTATGGAAGCCAAGCACTTGACATTTTTGAAATTAAACATCTGAATCATTGTACACATTTGTACTTCATTAATTGAACTTGGGTCATGATTTCATAAAATCATATGCACTACCGTACCGCAAATGTCTGCCTTTTTGTTCCCAGGTGGCCTGTCGCGCTAAGGTTTATCATCATCCGGGCTTATTCGGCACCCGCAGGTACAATGTCATGGACGGTTCTATCGTCAAGGTGCAGTGCTTATCGGGCGCGCCGTCCAAGCTACAGTTGGCAACGCTGCGGGCAGCCACCGCCGCGGCTGCCGCAGCAGACGACTTGCGCCAAGCCGCGGCACAACCTGGCTCCGTGTCGGGCAGCTCCGCCCGTACCACGTCGTCGCCATCATCAACGGGCCTCCTCCAAACCGCTGCGCCATACGGCGAAATTGGGCGGCACGTCCCAGCCACTGCGGCCACGACATCGCATCTGGCGCAACCTGGGTTGGTGCATGTCAAGGAAGAGCATTATGCTGGAGGACCAATCGGGGTGATGGGTGCAATTGCCCCGGACGTCCACTCGCTGAAACGGCACGCATCCCTAGCCGACGCTCCTGCCACGTTCCCGGAGGCCAAGAGGGTCAAGCTGGGATGCACGTGATGCCGATCGCTGCATGCGACTGCGCCGCATAGGGGTGGAGGTGATAGCTGTGGAGAGTTCGCGAGGTCTCCCGGACATTTGTTTGGGAATATCGGTAGAGAGGTGCAATGCAGTATGTTAGATGCTGAAGGTAGACAGGCAAGCATAGCGCTGCGGAGCTGGCAAATTGCAGCAGTCTGCTTGCGCCCGCTGCGCCGCATCCCTCTGCATAGAGGCGCGCGGTTCGTGGGTGTGCAAAGGCTTTGGGTGCTTGGAGAGCTGGTGACCAGACTTGCATAAAGCGGGGTGTGTTATGGTGTCAAACGGATTTAGTACCTGGTCAGGTTTTATCGAGCAAGAAGGCAGGCAGGCAGGCAGGTATCAGGTTAACAGCCTTAAAGCGACATTGCGGTAGCATAGGACTCCACCCGCCGCGCATCCACAACGCATGTACTACGGTGTCGTTGGTTGACGTTCTCTGCAGGAATTGCAGGAACGAGCTTCTGCGTGGGCTTTGTGGCTCGCGCGCTCGTTTGGCTTTGGTGCCCCATTGACGGGTTGTGCTTCATGTACAGTATCGGTTCGGTTTCTGGGGTCACATGCACAGGAAGAAACAAAGGATTGAAGTTTCCTGTCGCATCTGCGGTCGCATGGACATTGCGTAGCATTCGCAAGTGCCTGCTAGCGAAAAAGTGGAAACGCAGTAACAAGCGTTAACTTCAGTGGCTCGGCTTGTCCTCCTTTGCTGCTGGTCTCAACAGGCAATGCTGTTTTAAGATCTCTAGGTTATAACTTAATGCTGACTCCTTATTGCCCGCATGGGAAAGGCGGGGGGGATAGTTGATGTGATGAAAGGGATGGACAAGCTGTCCGGGTGTGCCCACGATGCTGGTCATGCAGCAAGTCTCCAACCCGCACCCACAAATACAGCAACTTCGCTTAAAGTAGGTCCGGTTGAGCACAACTTTTTGGAAGACACAAGAACAGCTCCTGTTGCCGCTGCTGCTGCTGCTGCGGACAACTGCTCAAACTGAAGGGATTCGGCTTCTCCTAGTGCGGCGGGAAATCACAGGGAAAAAGCCTTACAAGTTTCTGCAACGCTGGCACAACGCTGGCACAATATCGATGCAACCATGATGGCTTTAGTTTGGCGTCCTGGTGGGCGGTAGTGGAGAAGGCTTGGGTGGGGCGGCGGAGCGGTAGCAGTCTGCGGCCGGCCTGGCGGCCAACCCGAATGTTGTCATTTGTAAATGATAAACCTGCCATGGATTTTTTGCCTGATATGGTCGGCGGGTAAGGAGCTTGATCCGGAATGGTCTTGGCTGACCGTCAGGCGATGGGGGCGCTTGCAGCTTGGAAGTGCAGTAGCAAGGGACAAATAGGTTATTTTGCTAGGGAGATTGGAGGAAGCACGCGCACCACAGAAACAGGCGGAACATAATGATGGAAGGGGTGCATCGGGGCCCCGAGGGGCAGGCGTTCAGCAGGAGAGTTGGTTTGGATGCCAGAATGTCGTTGGTCGTACGTGTTTGTGATGGACGTTCTAGCAGGTTTTGAAACCTGCTGTTGTTAATCTCATTGTAAGACGTAGGCATGAGGTCTGGCTTGCATATGTCGCTTCAACTGAAAGGGTTACGGTAACGACGCACACGATGTCGACCACATTTCTCAGCAATAGAAGCGAGCTTTCAATTCGTGCCGCCCCACAATGCCATAGTAGACGCGTGCACGCACGGCACTGCTATTTCGTCTGTAGCTATCAGAATTTAAATCCGAATCCGCTGACTGTTGTCACCGTCACAGCCCTCGGTAGCACTGGACAACGACGCTCTAGATGCAGATTCACATGCCAAGCTTCAGGCAGAAAAATCGATAGTGTTTCGACGGAAATGCGAGAGTTTGGGTGAGGCTCGCCCCTTTCGTGTCAGCTTTACTTGCAGCCTGCGGCCATTGCAACTTTCCGCAGATTGAGTTGCCGACCAAAAGCAAATCCACTATTAACAACACGTCATGATTGAGCCCTATTGATTGTCTATCCTAGTCCTACAAAGCCCTTGAGGTGCCCCATTGGTCGCATGAGACTACCATGACCATGTGCATTTGCTGTGGCGGAAAACTCTCTCTTCTCCTTTGCTCCATTGCTGAGTTTCGTCCCTTAATGACTGCTCCGCCCTGCCACTGCGTTGCAATCCTCAAGACACCCACGCTGGGCGCTTTAGAATCGCAGTTGTAGCTCTCCAAATATAATTAGAACCGCCCGCTCTTGAGCAATCCCGCTCCGCTCTCGCACTTCCCCCGCCAGATGCAAGGGACTCTAGGTGTTGTGCTGCCTACTCGCGCCACCTTTTCCGCGTGTCCCACCCCTCTCCCTCTTTCCCACCATCACACCGCTTGTCCATCGACCACTCGCTCCCACCCACCCTGCCGTCCCCACCTAACTTCGCACCTGCTCCTCCGTTTTTTTTATCTTCTCCCCAAGCTTCGCCAAAGACTTCGACGAACGGTATACCCTGGGCGGAAAGATTGGCTCCGGAACCTTCGGCACCGTTTACCTAGCCACGGAGAAAGCGACCGGCCAGGAGTAAGAGAGTGTGTGCATGTGTGTGTGTGCGTGTCTTAGGGAGTGGCGCGCTGATAAGGATGTACAAGTAGCGATTACGGGAGGGTTTATGTATGTATGTATAACGTGGATTGGCGCCACAACTCGGTTCCTGGTCAGCTCGCAAGTTGATGTAATCACGTCCCACACCGTCCACAAGATGGCGGGCCACCTCCCATTTCAACACCGAGGGGTCACACACCGAGGGGTCGGCAGGCGGATTTCGGCCATTATTTCTGCCAGCCACCATACGTATGTATGTATGCATGTATGTATGTATGATTTAGGTTACACGGTCGGCTGGTAAAGCCGGGGGCCGAAGCCGAAACACAGCGCAAGGGTCGGGGGCACCCGCAGCACACCCCAGACTCAGGCTGCAAAACAGAGGTGCAAGGTCGATTTCCGGCTGCCGCACATACTTGAAACGTGTACGAAGTCCCCAGGGCGCAGATCCTATACCGCACCTGAAAGAACCTCCAGCACCCGCAAACCGCCTGAAAACCACCCTAACTCCCAACTCCCACCCGAACCCCGATGAACCCCTTACCCCCAACTTCTCTATCTATCTCCCTCTCACATACATACATACATACATACATACATACATACATACATACATACATACATACATACATACATACACATACGCGTACTGCAGGGTGGCAGTCAAGGTGATCACGAAGCGCATTCTGGGGGGTTACCTGGAGAGGCAGTTCGTGAGGCGGGTGCAGCACGAGGTAGGCGTATGTCTGTCAGTATGTATATATGTATGAATATATGTGCGTGTGTGTGGTAGGGGGAAAACGGTGGGGGAAGCAGCGGGAGGAACCCAGCCGCGGATGGGAGGGGGGACGGCGGGAAGAGAAGAAGAGCATCTGATGGGGGGTGGGGTGGGGGGAAGGGGGAGG